GAGAAAAAGCATCGGCTACTCGGAGAAAAAAGAGGAGATGAAATCCCCCTTCTCAACTATAAATTCTCTGCCGCATCAACCGTGCTTGCCGACGCGGCTGTGAGCTGCGAAAGGGACAGAAGACTATCGTCAAAGCGCAGCTGTACAACGCAATCTGCCTCCCTCTCATCAACCCCATTCTCTTCCGCATTGTCATTGGCGTCATTAGGGCAAAGAATAAGCGGTGAGAAGCCTATAAAATTTCCAATTTGCGTTGTGGCCAGGCCGCTCCTATCACTTGTGCTGTGTGTGTTGCGTGGACGGCTGAGACTCGCCCCTTGGCTTGATGTCGCCACCTCCTCCGAGCCACTCTTTAGCGTTTCGCCATTGGCAATGGCCCTCCCTGAACAAATCCATTCTCTCTGCGGGGCAGAAGAGATATTAGGGGTGGTCAGGTCAGGTGCACTCGCAATGCGTTCCGTGGAATGGGAAGAACTAACCGTTACAAAACTCCCATCCGAAAGAGAACGACTGCAAGCAGCAGTAGCAACCCACTTGCAAGTAGCACTATTGCTGCTGTTGATACTATTCTGACTACTACCGCCCCCACCACTTCTGTTGTTTGTTTGCTGCTTCTGTTGAGGTTGCGGCTGTCGTCTTTGCGCAAAAACAACAGCTGGTGCCTTGCCGTAAGTAGGCAGCGACACGCGCACAAAACGGTTGTCCCAATGCTCCGGCGTGGGTGAGCACTGAAAACTTACAGCGCTTGGTAGCTCCGTCTCGGCACTGGCCTCATGTAGACTGCAACTGTTGCCTACAATAAAAGGATGCTTCAAGGCCTCTTCACATGACAGTCGGCTCGCTTCATCCACGCAAAGCAGAGACTCCATAAAATTCTGTGCTTCCACTGAAAGATGCGTGGGATATTGCACGTTCCCCCTTGTGATTCGGGCACACAACTCCCATGCGGAGAGATGCTCAAAAGGCAGATTCCCGCACAACATGCGGTACGTCAATATGCCGAGAGCCCACACATCGGCCTTCGTTGTGCAACCCCGCCTTGAGATCTGCTCCGGTGCAAGATAATCCATCGTGCCGCAAAGCGTGTAGCGACGGGAGTGTTGGGGAACCCTGCGGTCAAGCCGAACCGCCCATGAAAAATCAGCCAGTTTCACCGCTTGGGCTTTGAACAAAATATTATCCGGCTTCACGTCGCGGTGAATGACATCCCGCTCATGCAGGAAGGCGAGTGCTGAGAGCAACGGCCGCAAAATACGCCGCGCCTCCTCCTCCGACACGCGGTGCTGCGTTCGGGTGTCCAGCAGTGTCTGCAGGTTCCCTCCATCCGCGTACTCCAGCACCAAAAACACTCGCACATCGTCCCAAAAGTATGCAAAGAGGCGCAAAATGTGACGATGACAACGTCCCGCGTATTCCTGCAGCTCCACCTCCCGTCTTAACTGGTGGGCGAGCCCGTGGTAGCGGATCATGTCCTTCGACAGACACTTTATTGCGACGGCGCACTTCGTTCGCTTTTCCCGCGCGAGATAAATCTTGCCAAAGCGTCCCTCACCCAACTTCCTCCCAATATCAAAGTCATCCAGCGACCACATTTGCCTCCGCACAGCCTCCCCTCGGCCCTGCGCAAAGCGGGGCTGCAAGACAAAAGAGCATCCTTCGCTGCCGCACCAGCAACAGTCCGATTCGTGGGGCGCAGAGACGTACAGTCACCGTCGCCAGTCCTCCGGCCACCGCCCCATTCGTACAGCCAGGAGCCATCACGAAGATTAAAAGACATCTGGCGTTGTGCTACCGTGACACAAAACAAAATGGCCAAAGAGAAACGTTCCAAACAATATATATATATATCACCGCCCTAAACCCCAAACTTTTCTGCGCCGCCCTTCCGCCTTCTGTAAAGGGAAACAAACAAGCAACCCAAATGCCACAACAGAAAAGGAGCGGGGAAAAAACACCCGTAAAAAAAAGGTTGTCAAGAATTTTGTGCAGCCAACTCCTTTTCCAAACGCTTCACTTCACGCTCCATATAGGAAATACAGGCTCTTAGATGCCTCAAGGTAGGCTGCGCAATCAACTTCTCAAGAGTATATAGTTGAACCTCTTGTAGGGCAAAGGCTGCCGCCATTGCGTCAGGCGCATCCTTGCAACGCCGCCTAACCAGCTCCACTGCAGCATTGACCTCGGAACGAAATACATGAAGAAGACGGTGCGTAACTTCGCACGGTGGTAATGACCTCAGCGGCATACTTCCAACAGGAACAATCTCAATCTCAACCTTCTCATGCGTTTCGCCAGGACCTGTCTGAAAGCAGTGAATAGAAACGCCATTTCTGTTCGTCGCGTCGCTGTAAAAAACACTAAATATCAAACCAACCCAACCGCTTTCCATCTGCTGGTACGAGCCCTGGGAGCGAAGGTCAACCTGCGACGGGTATGGCGTGATGCGGGGGTGGCTGTGGTACCACCCAATCACGCGGGTATGATGTCCCACCTGTTTTGTGTAGCGCTCCGCCTCATCGGAGGCACCGGCAAGCATCTCTGGGGCAATTTCAACACGGTCGGCACGCCTCACACTGCGCTGCAAAATCCAAGCACCCCACACATTGGCACGCTTACGAACGGTGGACGTTGGTGTTGGTGTTGGAGCATTCACATTCCCACCGAAAGATTTAGCACCTGTGGAAATTGCAGGAGAGACGGTTGCAGCCACCCTCACCGTCTCTGAAGAAATAGCAGCCGTCGCACCACAACCGTGATGCACGGTGACCTCCCCAAGTAGCAACCCCATCACCTCTTCTTGTTCCGTCGTAAAGGCATGCGCCAGGCACGCCTGTATCACCGTATCCGCGACACAAACCTTTTCAAGCGGGGCTCTCTTCTCCATTTGTATCGTCGCTGCACACACTCGCCAGCGTCAAAAACCAAACCAATCTAATAATAACAGCCTCCCACCCCCATGAAACACAAAACAAACACAAACAAAAAATAATAACAAATAAAGCAACCATAAAAAAATTAAAAGAAAAGGCGAAGGGTGGATACAAATATGCAAACAAAAACTATTTAACACACAAAAATGTGTAAAAGAAAAACAAAAGAATTCATAAATAATCGAAAAAGAAATGAAAGCAGAATAATCCTCTGGGCCGCTCGCCGGATCCTGAGTTTATCGATGGTAGAAAACAAACCAGATAGGAATAAGAAAGGATGAGCGGGACAAGAGTGGATTCACCACACCCTCAAAGCTTAACACCAGGTAAGTGTATATATGTATATAAATATCATCCGTTAGCCACAATTGTGGGCCGCTCACTCTATTCGGATGGGATATGTAGATACAGACCTACGAGGCGGCAGACTTCGGAGTCCTCCAACCACAAGACACCGCCGCGTGGTGGGAATCAAAAGGGGCTGGGTGGGATGGCAAAAAAAAATTTTATCTGGCCTCTATCGGCTCCCTGCCCCTACAATGTCGCGTTCTTCCCAAAAGATTCATACGGTAGAAAGTATCATAAAGAATGCATTCATTTATCAGGATATATACATACATTAATTAAATTCGCCAGCTCTCCCCGCGACCATTCTCCCCAAAAGCTCCTATATATAAATCATAAAAGGCACATACAAATCAACAAAAAAAAATGGCTGCTCTCACGGAAGTGCTGCATACGCTGATACAAGCGTCCCAGCACCGCAAAGCCGAACAAAAACGCACAGATCACATAAAATAAAAACGCTTCGCATATGAACGGCCCAAGTCACCGATCAAATCCCAGTGCGCCTTCGACTTGCAACGCCACTACGAGGCCCCACATCACGTCCGTGGCTGCTGGCAGAGGATGCACCGTGGAACATTATGCCTTGAAGGTTACCCACAACATGCTTCCCACTCGTACTCACAAGCTCCAGCGGCTGCGTCAGTCCTCTCGTTGCGCTTGGGAGTTTATTCAAGTCAATTGTCTGTCCGTCGTTCATCTCCGTGGATCCCGCATTCATCCTAAACTGGCAACAACAGCACAAACAAGAAAGGAAAAAAAAATATAAATAATAATAATAATAAAACATCGGAAAATGTAAAAAGAACAAAAGCGAGGCTGAAAAAAAAAACATTTAAAAGAACAACAACACAGATCCCGTTCACACCTACCACAAAAGAACAACAAAAAAAAAGAGAGTGGCCAGAAAGGAGTACTGCAGGAATCATCAGGACTCAAAGACCGAACGCCGAAGACGATCGGTGGCCCCGGGTGAACGGCCCACGCGAAGCACCACCATGACGATGTCAAGAATAGACTTTACGTTCTTTATGAGAAACACGCTTAACATTTGATGACCCCGTAGCCAAAGCTGCGTTCGCACCGCCAGAAAGGGAGCATCGCACACAACAACAAGAAACAGTAGATATTGAAGAATACGGCGCTTGTGACTTCCACCCACATCCGTGCTATTCCATTGATTGGTTGCATCACGCAACTTCTTCGGTAGGCAAATAAGCTCCGCGTGTTCAACGCCATCACGTGCATAAAATAAGTGAATGACGCCAACGTTGTTCCCTACAAACGCGACGCTTGCAATGATAAAAATGAGAATTCGAAATGGTTCCGGTATTGTTCGAAGAGCCCCTCCTCGGTTATTAAATGAAATGATATACCCATACACAGTGAATATGTCCAGGGAGTTCAGCAGGTGGAGGAGGAGAAGGTTAAAATTATTGTTGAAGTTCTCCACAATGCTGTTCTCCGTTATTATTCCATCCTGCAACCCGGAAGACTCATTCGTCTCCATAATATACAGCGGCAGCTGAACAGTAGAAACTGTTAAAACAAGCATCGCAAAAAGGCCGTTGGAGCCAATCGGCTGCTGCTTCCCCTCCGCCTCCCCTTCTGCATGAGGAATGTACGTCATACCCCACAGTACGGCTGTTTTGCCCACAAACAACACGACAGTCAAAACATTCGGGATGTAAAAGCTACGTAAACGGAAAAAAAAATACAATCCAAAAACAAACACATCTAAAACAGCAACCGCCATCACTAGAAACCCAAGAACGCCAAACAAATATACATCGCACAAGACCTGTTGAACCACAAACGATATCAATATAAGCCCCATGACAACGTATTCACTGAAGAAACGAATAGACGGAAAGCAAGAAAAGTCCAACGTTAATGCCGCAAAAACAGCCACGCAGAATACGCATGGGACCGTAAAACATATCCCGAGGACTGTCATGACTTCCCCAAGGCCGTCGTTCATAAGCATGGAGTCATGCCCTACAATCTCAAAAATGCCAAAAAACACACACGCAAAGGATCCACCTGCCACCACAACAAAAACAATAAATGTGAGCAAATACACACGCCGTTGGGCAACTTTACGTTCTGCTTCTAAAGCCCCACTTGGAACAGACGTATCCACTCCTCGATGCATCCTCTCCGTAATAAAAAAAGGCAAGCCTCTAAAAGAAACAACCAAAAAAAAAAAAAAAAAGAAACCCTATATACATTCGCACGCATGCATACAAGATGGATTTAAAGATAACAAACGTCAAATAAAATAAAATAAAATAATAATAATAACCCAGAAGATTCAAAAACTAATAAATTTAAAAGAAAAAAAAAACTAACATTTATTTGTGCTTTTCGCCATCGCTTTTTCTTTTCTTTTCGTTTTTTTTTTTTTTTCTTTTTCGTCTATGGGTGCTTAGACATTTATCGCCCCTCATCCCCTCTTCTTTATCTGGATGTTACTGCCAAAAAAAGAAAAAAAAGTAAAAAGAAGCGATACTTTCTCTCGTAAAAGAACACACCATTGCACGGTCTTACCGTGGGATGTCACCCTTCTGGCGCACCTCTATGGGATAGTTCTGCACGGATGGATAATCATACAAGAGCTTGTGATCCTCCAGTTTGCATTTCCCACTCCATAGATCGACGCTCTTTGGGTCAATTCCCTTCTCCGCTGCAAGTTCGTTTTTAAGCTCCCACACATGTTTCATGGGGTCCACCATCTTCCTGTATGCGTTCGGATAGGGATCGTGGGCAAGTCCAGACTCGTTCGTATTAAGCTGCTGCTGCTGCTGTTGTTGTTGTTGTTGGTATGGCCGATGTTGTGGCATGCGAGGCTGGTTTGTGTTAGCCTCTGCAGTCGCAGGGCTTGAGGTTGCCGTACCGGGCGAGATACCGGGCGAAATTTTGCCCGCCAGCACGTCCTTGTATCGCTGACGCAACGTCCGCGCGTCAAGGCAGTCGGAAAAGTTTACGCCTCGTTCATACAACTCCCTTGTGATGTCGGTGATCTTCATGTTGTCTGCGGGACTCTCGTTCGGCTCCACCTCCACTTCAATGGTCTCCACCTCAATCTCCTCCACCCTCATCTCCTCCACCGGTTTATGCGCGGTCCCTTGCACCCGCTCGGCCTCAACACGCTCAGCAGGGCGCTTGTCGTTCCCCAATGCCTTGGCAAGAGGCGGTGGTTCCACGATAAACTCATCATCGACCGTTTCATTCCCCTTCCCTCCTGCTGCAGCAGCAGCAGAAGAAGAAGAAACTCCGACCTCCTCCGTTGACCGCGGGGGTGAGGCGAAGGAGGCAGCCTTCGTTGGAGCTTCGGTGCCCCACATCATTTTAAGCAGCGCATCCACCTCCGTCTGAATGGACCGCGCCTCATCCTGTAGGTTCGACAGGCGTGCCGTGTATGCCTTCATAGAAGCTGAAAGAGTTATGCTTTTCCCCTTAAAAATTTCGTCCTCGACGCTGACACGCGTTAGGCCCTCCTGCACGGTCCGCATAGCCACTCGCGACGCATCGCTCATGTCCGCTAAATCCAATCCTTGCCCTCTACACTCCTCCTTCAGCGCAGAAAGCTGCTTTGTAAGATTATCGCGTACCTCGCTGGTCATTGTAAGAAAACGCATATTAGTCGCCCTTGCAGCGTCAAAGACAAAAAGTCGACGAAGCATCATGAAAAAAAAAAAAAAGGAAAGAAGGAAAGAAGGAGATAATAGGCCTATATGTATGTATATATATTCCCCCCGCTACAAATGCCTCCTTTGCTCGCACCACAAAAGGAAGGTTATGCCTATGTATTTACTTATATTCTTCTTTGAGGGACTTCAGTGTAAACAACAGAATGGAAAGAAAAAAAGCGGCAGTGAAGATATACATTGAAAAGCAACAACGAAAAAAAAAAAAACGCACACAATATCCTCAAACGCGGTATCATCTTTCCCGCACCACTTCTCGTCGCACATTCCTTTCCCACACGCTTATAGTAAATACACTTGTATTATGCACTGCATTTAGACGGAGACAAGGCAGAGTTCACTTCCCTCCACGCCATGTTGACTTAAAAAAGCCCTTCGCTCGGTATCGGTGCAGATGATACGCAATGTGAGTGAACATGTAGGGCATTGGGCGACATCGGCACCGGCAGCAAAGTCTTTAACCGAAAGCTCGAATAGATCGCCGCAGGGGCACGGGTATCGCAACATCTCCCCCTCCACGCGCATCTCCGTCAGCCGCACCTCCTCGTAGTGAAACGTGTCCATCAATGCCCAAATGCACCGTGTCGCCAATAAATAATAATGGTAATGTGCAGCTACTAGCGGAAGAACCCGGCACCGTAACAATGCAACAAGTCAAAAAGAAGAAAACAAAAATTGCCCCCCCACACGCACACTCAAAAAAAAGGGAAAAAAAATAGTTGAATGAGCCCTGAAAATACAATCAACCGTCCACAGACCGCCCCACGCCTCCACATAACAACAGTACAAACGAAAACAGCCAGCAAACACCACGCACAAGGAAGAAGATGACAAAACAACAGGAATAGAAGAAGGAAAAAGAAAAAAAAAGCATCCGGTATCACTTGTGGCAGCAAAGAGGCCAAACCCCCGGCTACGCCAATTCAACTTCGTTTTCAATTTCTTTTGCAGCGATTAAAGTTGACCCCATCCCGTGAACATGCAGCGAGAACAATGACAAAAAGCAAAACCAGCACAACGAAAGCAATGAATACATAGATAAGAATACGGTGACAGAGATATTGGCGCTCCAGAGTCCTTGTGTTCTGTCGGAATGCCGAGGACTCTCCCTCCAGCGCAGAAGACTGTAATAATAGCGCATCAAGTCGATCCGCACGGTCCAGCAGTTTATCGACATTTGTGATCATTTCCCCCCGAACCTTTTCAACGTCGGAACGAATATCACGTATTTTAGCATTCAGTTTATCGTTAAACATCTCCACTTCCTTCCTTAACTCGGCAGCCAGAACAACAGGATTTTTACTCCGAGAGTTGCAGTGCTTTCGAGCAACTTCCAAAAATTTCAAGGCGGTTGCACGACTGCAAGACTCCTCCGTCACGCACATGTACACCGTCCCGTCCCTGTGGGGCAGCATGTCGTAGGAGTAGCCGTTGAAGGTGACACATTTCCTCTCAACAAGAGGCCTTTTGATGTTCGCAAGTATCTTTTTAGCTCCTCCAGCATGCATGCTCGGCACCGCCTGGAAATCGGCTAAAGGAACCCCCTCTGCGGATGCCACAAGGGCGTAACGAATCGTCACCATTATCAAGCACGCATAAAAAAATTAAAAAAAAAACGCGCAAACCAAATAACTTCCCAACCAACACGCACGACTACGCAGAGCTCACATGCACAAAAACAAAAAAGAAGAAAAATATGTATATATATATATATATATGTATATCGGATAAAGAGGCCCAGCAAGAAAACACCATCGACAATCATCTCCCTCCATCGGCATTCCTCTCGTTTTGCTCCGAATGGTATCAAAACAGCTCACATGTAAGTAACACCCATAGAAAAAAGCAGGTTTTTAAGAAAAAAAAATCACACAAAAAACATATATTTAAAAAAATAAATTTCTTTCAGCCCCTGAAAGCCGTCTCTGCCTTTATTTTGGGATCCACCTCCAGCTGCTGCGAGTTGTACCTCCAGTTTGACAGCCACCTCTGAAACCACATCAGCGCCACGGAAGGAGTCGCCCTCAACATCGCATCCCGCACCGTTGAGTACGACAAACTAGTGAAGCGGCGGGCCCGACGTGATTGGCGAATATAACGCTCTGCACGATCACGTCGCAGTGTTTCAAACTGCTTAAAGACGTACTCAAATCCCGTGTCGCTGTGCAACGGGACATCGAGAAGCGATGCGGCCAAAAGGGCTGCGTCCTCAACGCACAACGAAGCATCCTGCGCA